AAAAATATAAAAAAAAAAATATTATGATAATTAGAGTTAATTTTCATAAGATTGTTGTACAAAGTGCTTCAGCAATTTATTCCTGTAGGAGTTCGAATTATCATATACTATATCAATATCAGGTAATTTGGCATTAATTTCATTGTATGACGCACTAATCCTGGCCAGAGGTTGATGCAGTCCTAGGTTTGTTCTGCAGCGCGGTAAGCTAAATGTTCTAGTTATAGGGTGTCGAGGATAATTTAGAGGTACCGTTAATTGATACATCCAACTTTGTCCTTTTCGTTATCGTATATCGTCTGTAAGACGGTCAATTGTTCCTGCGATGGGACATGACATGGACAAATTGTGTTGTCGAACAAACAATTTATGATTTTGCTCTATAAAAATAGGAAATGTTTACGTGATATAATTAGTATGTAGTGTACATATACGGAAAACAACTTTATAGATAGCGAAGAGTTATCAAAATTGATTCAGAATTGGTGAAAACATCGCACAACAATCAATACAGTTGAATTTGGAATCCTTATTTATAAAGTTATTTAAGAATCTTTTTTTTTTACTTAGAATAGCAAACGGGTCAATTACGTTTTTTTTGTCGAGAGGAAATGCTTTATGCAGACCCATATACCTCGGGGGAGATATGTGGGTACTGCTGCACTCTTACCGGCTAAAACCCCCCGGTGTTCCTCGTCCACCTATTGCCGGGGCCACGGGGAACCCGCTTGAAGTCGTCCGAGACTCCAACGGCAAACGGGTCAATTACCTACCTGATGGAAAATTCTAGCAGCAGATTTGAATTCCACCATAGACATGATAAACTATATTATGATGCCTATGTTACTCCTGATAGATTGTTTTTGCTAAGAACTACAGAACTACTCTTATTTCGCTTCTGTACCTTGTAATTTTAAATTAAGCTAAAATTCTTTATTGTACACACCTGTTATAAGAATATGACAGAGGTATTCAAATGTACAAAGGCGAGCTTAACTCTAATAGAGTTTTCTTCCAGCAACACGCAAAGTGGAAAGGAGCATCAATGTTAACGGGTAGAGCAGTGTACAATAGTAATTTTTCTATTATACTCTAATTTTTTATGCAACTTAGAATGATAAACAAGCTGACGGCCCACCTGATGGAAAGTGGTAACCGTCGCCTATAGACATGAGCAGTACCATGGACATAACTGAATATATTATGTCATCCATGATACCCTTCATGCGTTACTATTTCTAACACTATGGTGTTATACCTCTGTACCTAGTATTTTTTTTACCATATACTGATTTATTTTTTATATCCTTTTTTTAAATTGAATCTCTATAAATCTGAGTAAGACGTTAGTTCCCTTAAACATTTAAAGAAATGCCCATCCACATGTTTCACATCTTATCTTTGCCAAATATCAACAAAATACATTGAGTAAATAGTTTAGCTGTGAAAAATGAGATAGATATACGTACCTACTTTCGTATTTTTAATATTGATAAATTATTTAAATATACTTTTAGAGAACCTGCTGAGAACAGCGAATGTGAAATTAGCTAACGAGCCATGTGCCAAATGATAACTATTAGACTGCTTAAAGACATAAATAGTGTGACATGATCATCAGAAAAGGTTCGATGTTTTGGACTATAGTGTTTCTTCTTTCTTCGAATGAAAAAAGATGTAGAATAATAAGCCCGGCTCTGCATTATTGGTCATTGTTAGTTTGCCAGTGAGAGTTCATTTATTCGTTTAAGTTTTCTGCTGGAAATAGGTCTCCTCCAATGTCTTCTACCGTGTGTGGTTCTTTCCGTGTCCATCCACTTCTAGTCACCTTCTTATCATCGTCGATCCATCTAGAAAGAACACGCCCCACGCTGTTACTCCAATTCCTGACTTTTCTATCCCTCGTGCCATCGTTAACTTAACAAATATGGTCGTCTCACTGCCACTTCAGCTGATAGACTGAGAATTATGTCAAACAATTTAGTTTAGGATGATAGGTGAAGATAAAGTGAGGTTAGTTAACGCATAGTGACAAAGTGCGGAATTAACCGTGATGGTTTCTTGGTGAAGACCAGGTTGCTATTATTATTACAGAAGAAAACGTAAAAGGAAATTTCCACGGAAGTAAAAGTTCATTCCTGTGGAAATTCACGGCGAATACAATTTTTTTATGCAAGGTAAAGTTTCAAATGACTATTTTTATGCAGTTAAAATTTCATCCCAACCATCTGGACGAGTGGCGGTCTTTTTTTTTTTTTTTTTTTTTTTTTTTTATAGAACTTAGAATGGCAAACAAGCTGACGGCCCACCTGATGGAAAGTGGTAACCGTCGCCTATAGACATGAGCAGTACCATGGACATAACAGAGTATACTGTTTCGCCCATGATACCCCCATGCGTTGCCATTCCTGAGGACTCAGGTGTTATTCCTCTGTACCCAGTAAATTCACGCCAAAATTCTTCCACCGTGCGTTTTTCAAGGCACTTTCTTCCACGCACAACCACTCTTTGGAATCAACTTCCAGCAGCAGTATTTCCGAACCGATACGGCAACGTAACCTTCAATAAAAGAGCATATTCCTTTTTAAAAGGCCGGCAGCACACCTGCAATGCCGTTAGTATTGTGGGTGATCATGGGCGGCGGTAGTCATTTACCACCAGGTGAGCCGCATGCTCGTTTACCCCCTGTATTGTAAAAAAAAAGTTAAGAAATAAAAAGAAGCTGCTGGAAGCCCATCTAATTAAAAGTATTTACTATCATCAATAGGTGGATATAACGCCATAAGCTTCACTGATTATACTGTGCCGTATATATGGTACTCCTCATATATTGTCATTACTAAGGTTCTCATCTTTTAAATGAAACCCCACGTGTGCGAGTATGCTTGCAAGTGTGCAGTAATGCTTCAGGGCAAAATTAATCATGGGCAGGATTATCTGATAGATATCAAATCGTCTTTATTCAATGAAACTTGTATTAAGCACATTTTGTTTATAAATACAAGCTTCGGAATATTGTTATCTGCTGAACCCGCAAGAAACACAAAAGTTAATCTTTTAAATCTCTGTTAACATGTATCATTTAAGTTTGGTTCAATTAAAATTCTGTTATTTAAATATACTATGTCTAAAATTACGTGGTCATTAAATCCTCGATCGACTAATGCCATGCACATTTGTCATTCAAATACTCGCAATGTCCATATGGTATAACACATGTATAAAAAACATTGAGAAGTTAAATTACAGCAGGAATCCACAAAACTTTGTTATACCTAAATGTATGTATAAGTGTATGTAAAGATGGCTATTAAGGATTAATTGGAATAATTAAGACTGTTTTCTACAAAATAAAGACTTGAGTTGTGGATAAACATGTTATTTTTATTTAAACACTAAACTATTAAACCAATTATGATTTTTTTTTATGGAATCAATCTGTAAGTATATTCTTTCAAATTAAAAAAAAAAGTTTCCAAATCGGTTTACAACTGACGGTGTTTCAAGGTAAAACAAAATAGAACCGAATCGAGTATCTCCTTCGATTGAAAATATATGGCCGCCCTTAATAACGGGGCATGAAGCAATGAAATTTAGGTATAATTCGTATGACGTGTATTTTGAAGTTCAGCACATACATACGTTACGTTTTATGATTGAGACTTGTTTAAGCTTTGGATTATTTCATTACTTTCTGCTCTTTAAAGAAGTACGGTATTATTATTTACTGTATTGGAATAACAGCGTTGTGTCAAATTAAATTAATTAGTTGTGCAAGGAACTTCATTTTGCTTACTTTTTGAACTGATCGCTTAAGTAACTTCTGTAAGTGAATCATAGCTTAAGATGACAGGATCTCGAAGTTAATTCGTGATGGACGTTGATCTCCAAAGAATGCTTTGATGATGAAATATATAAATTAATATATGGTATTTAGAACATAAATTAACGTATTAATTTTATTTGCTACCGAAATAAAGATATTGTATCATAATATTGAATTATGGGGTATTATTGTACATAGTTATTAAATTTATAACTCGCTGCAAACGTGAAAAGTGCATGAAAATGTTGAGGAGGTGGAAAAACGTCGATTCAAAACACGAGTATGGAGTGACGTGCGCGCAACCACCAATAGGCGTGGACTCACACACGCGCTCACGCACACAAACACAAGCGCTAAGGTTGTCAAGCGCTACAAACTGAGAACAGTATCCCAGTGTCACTGCGACTAATTGTTATATATATAAATATAGCCTCTAAGAGTGAACCTACTGACAGTTAAAACTACGCATCTAATTTATTTTTTAAAGTTGTATTTGTATTTAAGTGGAATAATGTTTTTTAATCTTGGGATAATTTTAAACCATTTTTTTTCATTTGAAAAATTTGCTACTTGTATATAATGATATTATATACAAGTAGCAAATTTTTCTTCGGTATCTGCAATTGAAGCAGTTGCGCCTATTTAAACTTATATAATGCATGAATTTTCATAAAATCTTTCACTAAATAAGAAACTTTTACGCAATTTCATTCTTCTAAACACAATTATTTAGGCTATATAATATATTAAATATACGGATTGTATATACATTTATAAACGATACTCTCTCTTTTCATTTAAGAGTTTCCTCTTGTCGGTGCAACTAATTCATGCATCTTCTTACAGCCAGCTCTATCCTTAACCTCCCTATACGACATGACACCTAGAGTTTCTTTTATCTGTCCCGTATAGTTATTCCTCGTTCTTCCTCTTCCTCTTTTGCTCTCTATTTTTCCTTCTACTATGCTCTTAAAAAAATCGTCATGTCGTATAAAGTGGTCCAGCATTTTGCTTCTTCTATTCTCTATTATTTTAATTAATGTCTGCTTCTCATTCACTCTTTTAAGGATACGTAGGGCGCAGTAATAAATGGTTGTGTAAAATATGAGTGAAGTGGCAGCCCTACGTGAGTCGGTCCTACCGCCTGTAACTGTAAGCTGTGTAGAGCGAAGCGGAGGGCTCACAGTCGCGCATACGGTGCGGTGCGTCGCCGGCTGCGGGTACGTGCGAGACAGCGACGCACGCGTGGACTTAGTGAGTGACACCGACGATCATGTGCTAGTGCTCGCTTCTAACACGGCCGGTTACTGTCGGACCCTCGGCTCACGGATCTCAAGTGATTTTTACGTGTTTTTTTATTAAGGTAACAAAAAGCAAATTACTTGGTTTGTTAAAACACACTGAAGTAGAAATGCGAAGTCGTAGCTAAAGAAAAGCGGAGGAAATTTTTTCATTTGTGCGAACTATACTTTTCTAGCATGACGCATCAAGTTGGTACTTTTCTTTTTTGGATTGCAACAAGGTGTGAATTGAAACTATGTTCTTTGCAATATTGTAAGTACTTACATGTACCTACCTACGTAAATGAGCCTCCAATCAAATCCCTATACTTGAAAGAAAGAAACAACAAACTACTCCCTCCTCAACGGACAATATTTCAACAATCCTTTGAATACTCCAAATTATTTTTCGTTATTTACAAATAAACTAGTCCTGACACTGTATTGCTTATTTTAATCTCGTTTAATAATGATTACTTGTCCAAAAAGAAATAGTTTCATAATCCTTTCCCAGTATATGGACGTTTTTAGAACTTCTATCATACTATATATAACTTGTCCATTTACAAATGTTCAAATTTGTAAATTATATATTTAAATAAAACGATTTAGCTTAAAAAAAATAGCTGTAATTGTAACAAAATTATTTATTAATATAAGAGTAAACCCTGTCGACAGCAACATAATTTAAGGAAGTTATAATTTATGTTGGTTATAGTAAAATAATCTAATCAAAAAAGTAACAGAATTTGAATGTAAAATAAGAAAAAAAAATCCACTAAACAAAATGGAATAAAAATCGAAAAGATGCATTGTGCATAATTTGCTGTACATCTTACTAATAAAAAAAAAACTTGAATTTAAATAGCATTCATCTAAAATATTTTTGTGAAGAACAAATCGGTATGGAAAAAAAAATTTTGCTTACATTGATAGGTATAATAATGATGATAATCAACATTGATAATTAAAATTAATCACTACATATACGGTAAAACCAGTCAGGTGTTATGAAAATGTAATTGTACAGCAGTATGAAAGTTTTCTATAATGAATTATGAACTTAAAACGACACCTGTTGCTACGACTGTCAACAGCATCAACCGAATGATTTCCATTCTGTACTGTGAGTAAAGCCTGTGGTTGATACTGAGGTAGACAATTCTAGAATGGTTGTAGTCACGTAACCTTCTTTGATGTCCTTTTGCGAGTGTTCGAAAGAACTGAGTACATACTCTCATTCTATATTTGTTCTTCCAATACTGCACAGCAAGAATTGGCCAACGCTTATACGGTAGACATGGTCGCGGATAAATAAGTTTGCGAAATCCTCATTAAACGACGTCAAAAGATTTTGGAATAGTTAATAGTTTTTCCTGTGAAGTGTTCTAGGTTTTCGTACGTTCAAAGCCAAAATCGGAACTCTTGTAGGATCACTTCGTTGTCCATCCGTTCGAATGGCAAGATCCTTTTTCTAAGGAACGCGTGGAGGTATTAAGTTAAGTTTAATATCATATATTCAGGTTTGCAATCTCTTAACGCAGTGAAAAAATTAAGCTTCTTTAAAAAATTGACGCAAATTATAGACACGGCCGTTTATGTTCCATTTATATCGCATATTTTAACATTCGCAAAGGGAATCAAAACCTATAGGGTATTTTCCGTTGACCTATAATCATGAAATTTAGCAAAGAATCGATGTCATGTAGCACAAGTTAGACACCTAGGTATTCATTTCATTTAGGTAGATTTGCAACAGTTACCACTTTTCTTAGGTCGTATGTAGCTGGAAGCTTAACTAGCTGGCGTTTTTATATACATATTAGTATTTTATATAATTCCTTTTCACATTATTTTTGATATTTATTTATTACATTATATATATATATATATATATATATATATATATATATATATATATATATATATTGACACCTTTTTTGTTAGTTCAAATATATATATACAGTGTTCGTGATATACTCTTTCATTGTTCCTTCAGTCACATAGTATAATAAAAAAATATTAAAGTTTATATAAAATTGTTGCGAAACTTTTATCTCCTCATATCGGTTTTACGTGAGATCAAATCATTTATCTAATATTTATCATTTGAAAACTATATCTGATGTGTTCAGTCGATCACAGTCCTTTGTACAACGGATGTCAAAGTACGAGTACGTACTCTAAAAAGGAAAATACCTATTTGGTTTCTAAGGTCTTAAGGTTTTTAAATAACTTCCTAAAGTAGGTTGTATTTGTTTTTCGGTTATGTTACGCGATTAAATCAGTAATTCTAAATACAATTTGATACCTTATTGTTTTTTAGATCAATAGGCTTTGCTCCCGTGTTGAGCCTATATTAATTTTATCAATTGAAGTCTTTTTATTTGTAAAGCAAAAAAATACTTTTGATTTAACGTTTGTTTTTATACAACTTAGAATGGCAAACAATCTGACGGCCCACCTGATGGAAAGTGGTAACCGTCACCTATAGACATGAGCAGTACCATGGACGTAACAGAGTATACTGTTTCGCCCATGATACCCCCATGCGTTGCCATTCCTGAGGACTCAGGTGTTATTCCTCTGTACCCTGTAAATTCACGCCATATCCTTTCAAACCGAAACACAGCCATGCAAACACAACTGTTTCACAGTAGAAACACGAATAAACCCGTGATAGTAAGGGCCATCCCTTCTTTTCCCGTGACAGTCGTAAAAGGCGACTAAGGAAATTTAATAGACAAGGGATGGGCAGCAGCGTCCCTCTTAAACAATCACCAAACTCTAGCTACGGTCGCCTTCCCGCCTGCCAAACGTGGCAATTATTGGCAAAACTTCCTCTTTGTAGAGGAAGTCTATGTTCATCAGTGGACAGTTTATAGCTAATATAATAGTGATGATGATGGTGATGAAATTATGTTACTGAAATATGGCTAGAATCAAATTACTTTACCTTTGTTCTTGTTATGTATGGAAAAATAATGGTTGAATCATAAAGGTAGCTAAGAGGTATTTTTAAATAGAATGGCAAACAAGCTGACAGCCTACCTGATGGAAGGCGGTAACCGTCGATTATAAACACGCTCATCACAAAATACACTGTGACACCCATAATACCTCTTATGTGTCATTTTTGAGGAGTATAGAGCGTTATATCTTCGCAATCATTACCACCATCATCATTATATCACTGCTGAACATAAGCCTCCCCCTTGGGGGGTTTTGCCAGTAAATGAAATGCTTGGCAGGCGGATTGGCAACCGCAGTCAGGCTTTAGAGATGTTTTAAAAGAGACGCTGCTGTCAATCCCTCGCTCTCCCTTAGTCGTCTCTTACTACATCCACGGGAAATGAAGGGGTGGTTTATTCTATGCCGGGACCACACGGCCGATAGAACTTATCATTCTACATCAATACACATTATACGAGGTGTAAAAAGTACAAAACGAAGTGCTTAATTTAGTTTTCATTTTCCGAAAGGAATCGGTGCTCAACTTTCATGTACTTTCAGCGTACATATTACGCGATATCTTTATTAATTTTGAACCGATTTTGTAATGTGGTTTTTCAATTTGAGACTTAAATGATAGATTGGAACCAAATTGTAGCGATTGATCCCAATATCTACTTGAAAATACTAAACTATAGTTTTAAATTAAATTTTTTCCAATGTGATGTATCTACAAAACATCTTATTATCAATTTGTGCATTACCAGAGATTGACTTTGCACAAAAGTCGTTTGCTTAAGCACCTCTGTCCCATTCGTGTTTCTACTGTGAAGCAGTTGTGTTTGCATGGCTGTGTTTCGGTTTGAAGGGTGCGGATATGGCGTGAATTTACAGAGTACCCTCTGTACTCTGTAAATTCATATATATATATATATATATATATATATATATATATATATATATATATATATATATATATATATATATATATATATATATATATATATATATATATATATATATATATATATATATATATATATATATATATAATTTACAGAGTTATAACTATAACTGTATAACACCTGAGTCCTCAGGAATGGTAACGCATGGGGCGTATCATGGTCGAAACAGTATACTCTGTTATGTCCATGGTACTGCTCATGTCTATAGGTGACGGTTACTACTTTCCGTCAGGTGGGCCACCAGCTTGTTTGCCATTCTACTCGTAAGTGTCATAAAAAGTCGCCGTTCTGGTTCGTATCTGGCTCAAAGGATATCTCTGGCAATCCGACACGGAAATGCCGCAAGTGTCATGGGGACCTTTGGGTCAGGTACGGATCATGAATGGGACTGATCATTCATTTTTTTGTGAATCTATGAAACATAGAAAAAAAAAAATTATTTTAAAAAAATTTTGAAATTAGAATATTTAAGTTAGTCATTATTAATATTTTAATGTAATAAATATGTGTTAAATTTACTTTATGTTCGCAACAAAATTACACGTAAGGTAAATCAGTAGTTATTACATTTAAATATAACGTGTATTTACTAAATATATAACAATAAAAAAATAGTTTTGTAATTATTAAAATCGCTGTTTTTTTTACGGAGCACAATTTACTTGTTCATCTCTTATATAAGGAAGAGAACAAATGACATTTTTAGTTGAAATTCCCAAATATATTTAAGTAAAGTATTTGCGCTTTGCGTCGCCTATTACAATCAATGTTTTATTGTTGAGTTTCCCTATGAAATTCACACGGGAATACAGGATAAATTAGTGTCATGGGATGTTACGGAAATAGCTAATAATCTTATAATTCTACACGTGACATTGTTTAAACTTAACATGAATATATAGATCAATATATCATCGTTGCGGCGTAATAAAGGTTTTTAGGGCACGCATGTACCTACTCACATGTAGGTACGTGTACACCTGCCCAGGCTGTAGTGACATAACGCCATAAACCGATTCATCGTCTCAATGAGGCTATGATAATGATGGGAACTGTAATCTAACGAGGGTGGCATTTAAAAGACTTCAACTTTTATATTTTAATTGTTTATCCAAGATTCTTTTAAAATAAAGTTACTGTTATTAATTTTGTACGTACTTTGCACACCATTTGTTATTACCAAATCAATCTAGTATATATATTTGTTGTATAAATTGTATTGTATATGTGTTGTAATAAATTGGTGCCACTGAAAATCAGCGTCATGTTCCAAAGAACATGGCTTACAGCTGAGTAACACCATTTTAGTGCCTTTTCTTTTCATTTTTGATTTTTCTTAAATGTTTTTTTTTTTGTTATAATGTGTGAAATTAATCACTAAATAAATTATTATTTCTCTCTTTAAAAATAAATATAGAAAATGTAAGAGTTATGAAGGCTTTGAACACGATAAAATTACTAGAGACCCAGCAGTAAACTGTATAAATTATACCACACACGTGGGACATTCAGAAAGTTTTGCGACCATTTGAAGTCTGTCGTAGAATTCGTCCGGTTTCAGGCGACACTTAAAATCGTAAAAAATCACAGCGCGAAAATGTTCTCGACGCAAATCCATTTTTCAATGAGACACTGTAGTTTTAATTAGCTCGCAATAAATGTGGAGGGAAATTTTGAATTTAGAACGTACCTATTTTTACTTATAAGTAATCATATTTTTTAATAAATTATAACTGGCCAGTCTCACATACATAACAACTTTTTCTCGAAATACTTTCTGAGTGACCTGGTATATCCAAGCTAATTCATGAGTTTTTTTTTTAATTGGTATTAATATATATAGTACACACACACACACAGCTGAATACCTAAATTATATTAAAAAAATTACTTTAAAAGAGTGTTTCCTGTGAATATTCTCAGCAGATAACAACAATAAGTAGGTATATTGAAAACCCAGCGATAGAATCGTCCAAAAATTTAATTTTATATTATTATAAAAAAGTTTAATTACCTATAGATATTTATATTCTATTCTAAATATGTAATACAATTATAACAAATTAGGTATTTATATCTTAAAACAATGTTAAAATTTCTTTTTTTTTTTATAAGAATGATGCAAAAGTAGCAATCAAAACAATGTTAAAATAATCATAGATGTATTTATTCTATAACTAGTTTTTACCTGCAATCATGTCCGCGTGTCCGGGATATAAACATATCCCAGACACGCAACCGGGAGAAAAAGTAGCCTATATTCTTCTCCACTCTTTATAGAACGTGTGTACCAAATATTATAACTCTAGGTTATGTCGTTAAAGCGATGTAAAATAATAAACAAACTCACTTTCGCATTTATAATATTAGTAAGGACTAGTGAGGATCACTGTTAGGATTTCGATTCTCGATTCAATATAAAAAAAGGCTTATGTTTTAATAACGATAATTTTACATCGTAATTTTATGCCATATTAAATTTCGTTTCGTGTAAGTCACTAAGAGGCGAAAAATACACAAATACGTTTTTATAGTCATTTATACACTTACATATTCCCTTATAACTAATAACTAAAACCTTCTATAAACCTATTCTGACTATAACGAGGGGGGAAAGGGATTGTTAATAATGAAGACTGAGAATCCCATTTCTAGCAATATACCCAACCAGGTCGACCTCCTCACGGTTCCTCCTGGAAACTGTCATGGTTAATTACCGATGAATTCATCATGATGGGCTAACTGGCCTGTTTTCATTCTCATCTATCACCCTTCACTGGTGCTCCGCCAGCGTATCCCGTTAGCGTAGGCGGGGTTACGATCCCTTTTTCACCCATCAAAAAAAAACCTATTCTGACTATTGAAGTCTCACTTTTTGTCACTTTCTTTCCAATTGGGAATTTAATGTAAAAGAAAGAGACAACACACTTCAATAGTTAAATTAGGTTTGTAGGACGTTTGACATTCATATGAATAAGGGTTCGAGTGTTGGGGAATAGGTAAATAATACTTATAATAAATCTGTAGAGAGTTCAATTCTGTACATGAAATATAACTAACTATCTATATATAATAATAACTATATAACTAATATATAACTATAAAATAACTATCTTGTCCCTCCACCATAAGCTCCCATAGTCGCCTCTTACAATACCCGCGGGAAAGGAAGTGTTGGCCCATTCTATGCCGGGAACTACACGACGTTTAATATATATACTATAAATATATTTTATAATCAATATTTACGTTCGAACAGTTTACTTCTATTTTAGTCTCATTTTAATTTTGTCACTACTGAAATCACTGCTTTTTTTGGGTATTAACATGCTTTGATGGTTGACCTTTTGTTTGACCTCACAGGAACAAACTGAAATGGAATTAGATTCTCTGTGCGGGACAAACGCGTTTGTGTCTTTTCGTACACACTTTGACTTGCTGTTTAATATTGCTTGTAACAATACAAAAGCGAACTTATAATTAAAAAAAAAAACCTTATATTGATTTAGAACTGCCGAAGGTATCGTATAATACGAATATGCAACACAATACACATTACGCATGAGAAATATAAAAAGGCAAATTTAAACTCCTCTTTTCTTAACTTAGTTTAAAATTGTAACGAGAGGAGTAATATTTTTAAAATATGTATGTTATTTATAAAAAAAATGTAGTATTTTATATTAGACATCTTATTTTTTTTAATTAACATTTTTCATATCTGTGTACGCATCGTAGAAAAACTATTTAATATACTTTTATAAAATTTTGTGTGTGTGGTAATAACCTAGTATCCAAGTAAAGATATAAAGTACCTTTAAATATTTAGGAAAACGCATAACTACTACAAAATTTGTCTTCTTCTTTCTTCTCTTCTTCTTCTTCTTTAAATCTTTAAATTATTTAGAGATTTAAATGAAACTTAGAAGTCTTTATTTTATCCTTATAACAGATCCCTATTAGATGCTTTATTATCAAAATTAACACAAACAACGCCATGGTTTCGTTTTGTGTAGTGCGAGTGAGCTAATAGCTCCATCGCTTCGAGCACACGCAGTCAAATAGATACAAAGAGATCTATTAACACTACGAAATTGTTATCAAGCAGCGTTGGACCCGTATGGTTATCATGTACCATCAGTATACTGAGCAAACATCGCGCCGGTAAAGCCATGCACCGCGGGGCTGTCAAACGACAACGGAAACGCGTAGGTAACGGGCTCGCGCCGAATCAAATTGCACTCTAACGCACTCAGGTTTGTGACTAAATTTGATGTGGTTTTTGGAAATAGTTTACTCGAGGCTTAAAACTAACCTTAAGCTGAAGAATAAAAAGTCTGCAATCGCGTGGTGGCCGTGATTATTTGTTCTCGCTGCGCACACAAACGCTCGGCGTAGTCTTCCGTCGCAACACAGAGCGCGGCGGCGCGGTGCCGTGCTGTGTCACGCTCTAATATAAATAATTACCTATGAGCACAACAGTGGAAATGATTCTCACATATAAAAAAAAATATGATGTCTACCGGTTCTCACTATTCGATAAAACTCTCGAATAATATGCTATAAATCACTACAAAATTCCATAAAGAATCCATCGTTGTCTCGGTTTTGTAACATGGTACTTAATTTTGTTATACTGCAGCAGAATATTTTATCGCCGCTTTTTTTTTCAGTTACACTTTAGCAAATCTATTTTCATGGTTGGATATAGAATAAAGAGTAAGAAAAGTAGTCAATGTAGCAAAAAAAAAAAAAAATAAAACAAAAAATATTTAAGATAGCATTTACAAGTCATTTTATAGAGCACTTTGGTCTATAACACAAGTTCCAAAAGATATATATATATATATATATATATATATATATATATATATATATATATATATATATATATATATAAAACTACTATACGTAATTTACAAGGCTTGTGTAATTATTCTTAATAAAATTAAAGATTTTAATAACGAACCTATGATTTGGTGTTAAGAGAGTTGTTAAAGTCCATTGACTTTTAAATGTAGCAAACACGAAGGGGCGCGGGGCGCGGGCGCTGACGTGCGGCACAGCGCCGGCGCCGACCACGGCCTCATATTTGTTTCCGAGCCGACCATTTCCGGTCTAATGTAGCCTTCCTACATACTGTGTACAAATCATAATTCGTTAGAACGGAACACGTAAAAATATAATTCTTCGTTATAAGTAACACAAGTCTTACTTTCAACAGAAAATGGAGAACGTTACTTCAATGGTACGAGGTGGAAACGAGGAGCAGCGCGAAGAGGAAGCTGCAGCGGAAGCACTGCAGTTAGTTAAAAGTGAGGAGCGGATAGAACAAGAGCAGCAGCAACCTCCAGAAGAGGGTGTCTCGGAGCCAGCGGCTGCAGGTCGGGAGCACTCTCCGCCTTCTCACTCGCAGTCTGTCATCACATCGCGGCGAGCGATTCGCACAATTACAGCCGCCGGTCACATCACCACAGATCCTGCGGAGATACCCAACGATGACAGTGTTAAGGACGAACCCCCAGAGTCTCAAATAGAACATGAGCAGCAACAGCACCATCTTCAACAATACGCACCTAAGCTGGAAGAAGGCGAGCCCCGCGATGCAGTGCAGCAACATTACAAAGATGAGAGATTACGATTAGCCGAAGCGGAATCGGAAGGTCGCCACCATGTATTTAAACAGGAAACCTATAGAGGTGTTTCTTCCCCAGCCGAAGTTGTAGATCGTTTGCAACAACAATATGCACGTGTTCCACCTCAAAGACCTGATTACCGTCGTGGACTAGCATTCCGTTACGGAGCGCCCCCGCATCACGTAGTGGTAACGCAGGAAGGCGAGGCAGAGGAACACGCTCACGAAGCCTATCTCGCACATAAAGAGAAAGCAGAACAGTTGCAAGTATACGCAACGGCATCCGAAGGTGTTCCAGGTGGGCAAAGTGACGGACGGCAGTACGGAACGGTATTGAGTGATCAAGCGGCCGCTTCTAATGCTTTGGAAATGATACAAACCACGTCACTGAGTAACCAGCAGGCGGTCGGGGTGGCCTACCAACCTGTCAAATATGAAACGCGCAGTGACAGTGAGCCGCGGCCGACTACTTACGCGAGTTTACAACCGGTAACATCTGTGCACGGTGGATACAGTTACGCTGGACAGAGCCCACAGTACGGTGGTGCAGGATATAGCGCGTATGCTAGTGGAGGCAAAGAGTTGCTGACATTGTACGGCAGTGGGTCGGGGGCGGCGGGAGCCGGCCCGCGCGGCGACGAGTCGCCGCCTGGTCAGCTGATGTACCGGAGCGACCCGACGCTGTCCTCCTCCTCGCTAACTACTCGTGGAACGCACGTCGTGTACGGCTCCGTAGTGCCACAAACGCAAGCAGTTTACGAAGCCCCACCTAGTCCAAATTCGCAACAAGTAAGTATTAGTAACTATTTATTGTTTTAATATCAATCACAAAACTCTTATTAGATCGTAGATTTCATACAAATTCCTAATGAATTTGCATGAATACAAGTAGATACAATAGATTAGAAGTATTTTATATGAAAAACAAAATCTCTGCATACAACCGTGTGGTGTGCAAATATTGAATTTGAAACTTGTCCTTAAAATTTTACATTAAAAGATAATAAAACACATTTCTCAGTAAGCCAATTGTAAAGTTTCTCATTAAATATTTTGATTGTCAGGTCTCTGTATTCTGTCGTTAATTTATTATATTTTAACTGCCATCTAGTAACAATTCCTGGTGCACAATGCGAGTCTATGTCGAGGTACCATGAGTAGTTATCTATTTCTTTAACAAACACTCTTCAATCTTTCTCAAAATATGTGTAGTATTTTCGAATAAATTTACCCATTTCGAATGTGTAGGTATAGCGATGGTAATGTTAGTAATTTATATTTGATGAAAATTGATCTACAAGAATCTTTCCATTTAAGATTAAATATTGATCGAATGCATTTCTTTTGAGCTGTGAATGCTCATTTAGTACCTGTTGAGTTTCTCCATATTATTAATCCGTATCTTAGAATTGAGAACACGTGGCTGTGATAAACCATAGTTGCTATCTTTCTGTCAATGAAATTTTTATTTTTTCGAAGTATAAATATAAATTTATTTATTCTTTTACATACGTTGTCAATTTGTAATTTCCAATTACAGAAGTTGTCAATAGCTATTCCTGAAAAATTCATATTATTCACTTGTTCTACGTCATTATTACTGTATGAAATATTTAAATTTTCTGTATGGATATAGAATTTTATCATTATATATCTTGCATCTCATAAATTTAGGTTTATTATTATTAGCATCTAACCAGTCAATTATATCTTTTAATGCTTTATTAGTAACTTTTATTGCATTGATAATAGATTTTTCTTTAGTCAAAAGTGTTGCATCGTCAGTAAATAGTATCATATATTGGTCAGTTGTTTTTGGCAGTTCATTAATATATGTTATAAATAATATGGGACCTAAGACATTCTCTTCTAATTTTATTTCTTAAGCTATCAGTGAATGCTACAAAATGTAAACGTGCAACAATAATGTTATTGCAAGCGTCCAATAAATATTACCCATATTATATCGATCTACATAATTGGGGAAGACGAACTTTCTGTTAAGAAGCGACAAACACATCGTCAGTTCAATCCTATTTAAGAAAAATTAGGATGGATTTACACAAATTGGTACCAAAAATAAATCAATCTGTACCAGGTGACGTTGTACACCCACGGTAACACAGTGCAGTACAAAGTGGGCGGCGAGCACTACCTGACGCAGGGCGGCACCGTGGACTACGTGCCGGTGTCGGGCTACGAGGGCGGGCTGCTGGTCACCGAAGGGTACGCGCCGCCCGCGCAATCCTGGCCCGGACCCAACCTGCTCGCCATCGACGACGGCTTCGATCCTAGTAAGCTATTTAATGACTTAAAAGTTTTTACCTTAGACTCCGAACATAATGCCATATGGCATTAAACTCGTCATTTTTACAAAGTTTTATTGTGCAATAAAAAAAAAATACAGTGGTACCTCGATATATGAGTGCCCTAATATACGAGTGTTTTGAGATACGAGCCGCCGAGCGAACGATATTTTGCTTTGAGACGAGAGCAAGATTTGAGATACGACGAATTGCACACTACACCGCTGCACACGACCCCAACATGCGGCGTGGACGTTGGTGTCTAACAGTTTCTCCCACCTCAGACTAACACTTAACAAAAACAACCTAGGTGGTTTTATGGGAGTACGGATTAATGGCATTTCGATTAATTTCAATGGGGAAATTTGCTTTGAGATACGAGCAATTTGACATACGAGCAAGGTTTCGGAACGAATTAAACTCGTATGTGGAGGTACCACTGTATAATAATTGCAAAGTATACTTTGCATTCGTGTGATCCCGGCATAGAATAGGCCATCCCTTTCTTTACTGTGGGTGTCGTAAGAGATAACTAAAGAAAATTAATGGTAGAGTGATGAGCAGCGATACCCCGTTAAAATATCTCTAAAAGCCTAAGTGTGGTCGCCAACCTGCTTGCCAAGCGTGGCAATTACTGGCAAAACTCTCCTCAGGGGAAGTCTTATGTTCAGCAGTGGACAGTTAACGCCTAAAATGAAAGTAGACTTTGTCCCCCTAAACACAGTACTAAATATATACTATTTTCATTACTATTGGTTGAACTACTAAAGCGTTAACAAATAAAGTCGCCTCCACATTTAAATATTAACGACAGTAAGGTAGAAAATAACTTTGCTTAAACAACAATTAGATAAAAAAAAAAAGTAAGAAACATAAGTAGACAAAGATGTTATCAAATTTTATTTAATTATCAAAATAGTATTTAAAGTATAGTTCTTTTTTAACAAAATTTAATTCAAATCCATTCAGACTTGTTTACACATGAATTAGTATTAGTCAATCACCTAAATATTTAATATTTGAACAATCTATTTGGAATTTCACTGCAAGAGCAATTCCACTTAATTTTTTTTTAAATCAACGTGTAAATAACGACCTCAGTTTGCTCCCACTTATTAGATTATTTCTCTGCTCAATTCTCCGACTGCTGCGTTATCAGATATTAGTATTTTTAATAACAAATTAGACACATTTTCTAAATGTTGTTTAAAAATATTTAAGTTTGTAACATCAAGCTATGGCTCACTACACGTTTTGGGAAACTGTAAGTGAAGTGAGCATTTTGTACTTAATAAATACAAGTAATCTACGTTTGGTGATGTGATGATTTGAAAAATAAATACTGTTTGAATTAGACATGGCCGGGATAGGGGAAATGAAGGAGTGCGTGAACTGCGCGGCGGGCACCACGCCGCTGTGGCGGCGCGACGGCACCGGCCACTACCTGTGCAACGCGTGCGGCCTCTATACGCGCATCAACGGCGTCAACCGACCCCCGCTCAAGGGGCAGAAGACGAAACCGCAGCAGGCATTGGTATGCTCTCCCATATTTATACGACTGCCTTAAAAAAGAGTAATATGTATTTTCATGATTCATGTATGTATGTAAGTTCTATTATTCTAACATAACTTTTAAATATCTGGACAGATTTGGATGTATTCAGTTTTGTTACAATCAGTATATCATCCCAAGTGACACTGCTGGTAATTTTTTTTTAAACAGTTCGGTTATAACAAGGCAGTCGTGTATTATTTTGCGAAGCAAAATCCACTTCTTGAAGCATTTAATACAATTTTGCACTTGTTTTTAGATTAATTTTTGACAAACCACATGAGCGGTAAAACATTGTTGATATATCCGAAAAGGTTTTTTAGCCAAGACTATTCTTACACATAGGTATATGCTGAGAAGCAGTAATGAGTACTCTGTAGTTTGGTCTGAAGGGTAGAATAGTCTATGTAATCTTTGATATATATCCTCAACGAACGGTAACTGAAAACACGTAGGAAGTGTTATGGACTTGTACAGAATAGAATAGAATAGAATAGAAAATCATTTATTCAAATAAACTTACATTGAAGCACTTTTGAATAGTCATTACATTTTTTTTAATCTACCGCTCGTTCGGAAAGCTGTCTCATCACAAGAAGAACGAGCAAGAAACTTGCGTGTTGCTCTTTTAACAATGCATGCAAATCATTCAATATGTATTGATTATGTGTCAGCAGCCAACGAACGGCAACCGTCGCATGGGCGTGACGTGCGCGAACTGCCGCACCGCCAACACGACGCTGTGGCGGCGCAACCACAACGGCGAGCCGGTCTGCAACGCCTGCGGACTCTACTACAAACTCCACAATGTAAGTACTACATCTTCACTTTTGATAACATAACAATTGTGGTTCGAAGAACGTAGTAGTGCCGTTTAGCACATGCACGCAAAAGATACAGCCAACGGTTGCCCACCCCGGCGAGAACATATGAGTGACAAGTATCAGCTGGGAACTACATGAACCCTGATACCCGTAGTTCGATAATAATGACGTATTTTGTGATACTAGATAATACTGAACTGTCGGTATCGTGGTAGAACTATCGCGGTGATTGTGCATCGACCACGGGCGGCCCTGATTAGATGGCGAGCGACAAAGCGCCAGGTATCTAATCGCAGACCATTGCAAGCGCAGTTATCAGGGAACTCCTCGGTAAATATTGGGCCTGTATAAAAAATCAAAACACAGGGTCTCATCTAATCTCGCGAGATAAAACTCGGGGCTACCGACTGATAGAGAATTATCATCGTGCGACCACGAATATTCATAATGAGATAAATAATCTTTTATCAATTATCTCCTCGTAGTAGATACGCTTGTTTAAAGGATGATAGGACCGCGTGGCGGCAGATTACGAGGAGTTTCCCCGCGCGACGAGACGAGACGCGCGGTGCTCGTGCCCGTGGTACATGTGTCGCGCTCGCTTGCAGGTCAACCGGCCGCTCAGCATGAAGAAGGACGGCATCCAGACGCGCAAGCGCAAGCCGAAGAGCATGGGCGGCGGGCACGGCGGCGTGGGGCGGCCCGGCGGCGGCGCGCTCGCCGGTACGTGGAGTTGTGTGTGAGTGCCGTGTGTGGTCGCGCGCGTCTTATAACGTGTGTGGTGTGCTGGTCCGCAGTGGAGGCACACTCGCACAAGGTGCTGCCTCCGCTGTACGCGGCGGTGGAGGCGGGCGCGGGCGGCGCGGGGGGCGGCGGCGCGGGGGGCGGCGGCGCGCCGCTGCTGCTGCTGCCCGCAGCGCGCCACCAAGCCGATATGTGAGTACAGAACGGTGCCACCATCCTCCTTCACGATCCCATCTGTTACTATCGACACGGGCAGCGCTCCCGAAGACACGCATGCCGTCTCAGATTTTTCCTTCACGAACTATCCGCATGCTTTCTCTATATTTCTGCACTGCTCTGCCCTGCTGAGTAGAAATTATTATTAGTTTAGCCAGCTCTGAATAAAACAACTTCACGTACCGCATATCGGCTTAATGCATAATATTATTTTAGCATCCTATGCTTTATGTTGTTTCTCTTTTTTTAAACTCGTCACCGAGTCCGTGCAACCTAATTAAGGCCGTCTATAGTAAACATGTCGTTTCTCTGTATAAACTGAGTAACTTTTCGCGCGCCGTGTGTTTGCTTATGTCTTACGTTATCTCAAGGTTCCACCGAGTGTGGCGTCGTGGCGTCGTGGCGTCGTGTTGCCATCAGTATCAGTTCGTAGCCACGTTGTGTGAACGATTTGTTCAAGTTGCAAACTCATTCCTGTTCAATTTAAATATTAAACGAACGCACTGAACACATTGTTCACCACAGCTTCATGTATTGTTCTCTACGTCTAGTAGTTTTACCTAGATTCTTTACCGTGATCACATGGGCCACAATTTAAAAAAAAAAAACATGAAACGCCACGATGCTTACATTACGGTTCTATTTAGCTTCCATAGCGTTAAAGTCTCTAGAAAGTGGTCACATTATTTGTTTTTTTTTTATATTGGCAAGGGTAATTTAGTTCAAGGGACATGCAGCTAGAGGGTAACATAGACGCTTTATACAAATCATATAACTATCATTCCGTATAACCCGGCGATGCAGTTGCACCACGAGATGGTATCTGAAATAGAATCTGTAGCTTACCTATAGGTGCGTGGTGAAATCAAAATCGTTAGCATCTTTTTAAACATTCTCATCAAAAGAATAATGAAAACCGACATAATTTTAGCCTAACTATATTAACACGACGCGCCAGCTGTTAAGTTAGTATGAGAAGCACACAATTATATGTCATTTTCGAATTCTTGTGGAATTTTTGCCCTAATATATTCTATAGTATACTATATGCGTATACGCAGACTGCCAGTTTAACGTACAACTTAAATTTTACCTCTATGTGTCCAAATATAATACGATTAAATTATAGTTACACACAAGAAAGGCTCTTTGTATACCTACAGAGTTGAGTCGTCTCACATTCTAAACGTAATATTTACTAACTACTATTATTTTTAACAACTGATGATCTCATAGAGTTAAAGATTGCTAAATAGGTTATTCAAAATAATCTTACATTCATTCTACTTCAGACACCATCTCCTCAAAACAATTGTCTAAATTGACAAGCGTTATTACACCTTGCTTTTGTATTAGAAAGTATGTTATATGTTATTATTTTGTATGTTAAAGTGTAGTTTATGATACGCATGTGTGAATAGTGGCGCCATCTATCCGCAGGGTACCAACGTTAGATCGATCGCCGGGCGGCGCGTCGCTGCACTACCGGCCGCCCTAACCACGCGACTGGTAGGCTATTAGGCACACAGCAGCCAACCTAACCTCGCTCTGTACATATTAGCTAGGATGGAAAACCTCTCCACACCGGAGATTGCTGTGACATCAATTTCAGATTAATCTCGTGATACATTTACTTTAAAAAAAACCATTCATACTCACTTTTTTACTTTATCCGAGCAGTGAGTACTTTATATTATTCTCAATTTCGTGTATAATGTAGTATATATCATATATGTGTAAGTGTATTTGTTATTCATATATATTTATTCGTTTATATATGTAATTTTAGTATGTATGTATAATATATCAATAATTACTAGTGCCGCTTTCGAGTATTCTGACACTTCCCTATGGTTGACTGGGAGAGAATGCTTTTAGCATTAAGCCCGCCATGTACACATATATGGTATGTACTAATGAATAAATAAATACAAAATAAATACATTAACGTAGACTAGTAACTAAATGCAGATTTCATACAACGCTATTCTATTAAATATATATTTATTTTCTAATAAATATATATGTATGTTTATTTTAGTTTTATAAGTAGGTAACATGATACGATTTCGAATAACTCTGTCACTTTAACTATGAACTTATAGTTATTTTCAATATTTGTCGCCGCGTAACTACACGTTTGTTTTTATAAAGGTTGACTGCGAGAGAAGGCTATATAGCATTGTCTATGGTACCAAATATTTTTGTAAAAATTGACAATGATAAAATAAATCAATAGCAACATTATTCGAAACCTACGTATATACAAACCGTGCTATAATTCATGTGAAATTATGTTTTAATTTTATTATAATATAATACTAATATAGTACAGTTCTCTTTTCATTGAAATTGTATTTAATAAAGATATATAATTTTTATTTATTTTATTATATTTGAGTAACAATTCATTGACATATTTGACATATACATTAATATAAGACAAAAATCTCCTCAAATAAAAATCAAATATTTACCACGAAGAATATTATTACTTATTAAATAAAATAATGGAATCCACAAACGTATTGTAAATTGGTAGAGTTACATTTAAAATGAGGAATTTTTCCGTATCTAAATTACATAATGTATAAAAACATTTTCATTGCATAAATTTTTTCTTTCTTTACAAATAATTGCTCACTGCTACTTGTTGGTAGTTAGATTGATCTGAAACCGATGTGACTTTGTACATAAGTTGTAGGCATTGTTAATAATTTAAGGTCCATGAATTATTTGACCAAGTTGTTACTACGGAACAATTAATTTGTGTTGATTTATTTAGCGGTAACTACACACAATCGTATACTATGAAGGGTGGAATAGGAGTCATCAGCATTCTTTTGAAGGAATGTTTCTCAATAGTCAAACGAAATATTTTTCTCGAAGGAAAATTTTTCTCTCATACTGACTTTGAAAATTAGAAACGTCGTGTTACTATGTAGACTGAAATTTTTTTATCATCTTTAGAACGCTCTCGTAGAAGGATGCTGAGGCTTCTTTTTAACTTTGTATATATATAGTACGTATATTTCCAGTCCGTATCTGTTACAGCAACTTAAATGCAAATTTGATTGAATTGAGGTACAATCAAATTAAATTGTATTACCTCGAAATAAAAATGTATCAAAATATTATTAGATTTTATTTTTCTTAATAGGCATAATATGCTAAAATTATAAAGAATTGTTATTACAAATATTTTTATTTCTGTTTGAATTATAACTTTTCACTACGACACATTTTAGGTATTTATGTAGAACAATTTACTATTACTTTAGTATTTTCTATTGTTCTCTGTCTGATAATACCAAAGGAGAGAGGCATATATTTCTAATGGTAGTACCCACAATATAATTTGACGTTAACAATCTGATTATTTGCATTTTCTTGTACATCGTAAAGATATTGACATCATAAATGTAATGTTGGTTTTGCAATTTAGATTAATTTTGTTACAAGACACATCTATTAGTAGTAACTATTTAAAGTTGACTGTACACCGTGTTAATTATACGCGGGACATAAAACTCTAGTGTTTAGAGAATTTATTTGAAAATTCAATATTATGTACAATCAGAGACCAAAAAATGTCACCAAAAACTCAGTTAACCATTCTATGCATTAGTTCCTCGACATTACTCTTGTCTTGCCATGTGTTATTTATTTTAATTTTAATTCGGGACAGTTTTGAGCGTAACTTTTGTATGGGAATATATTTTTTTATTGTAATAATGTGTATAGAGTGATGACGAAGCTGCCCATCTTTTCCTAGGTCATTACTATTTTCTATCAAAGTCTCAATGCCTTAATTTACAAGTATTGATACCTCTTTATGAAAGTAACCTCTTGTATTTCCATAATTAACCTAACCATGGTAGGTGGTTGGTAACTGTCCGATACTGAGACCCTATGTAGGTATATGCGTATATACCGATATAAACATCTCCGAGTCACTTTATTAAATATTATTTTATGAAACTAGTAAATTACGAGTATTTTTGTTGTTCCTTATCTATTTCTAAACATGAAGTCTGCTTTTAATTTTTATCTCTAATTTTTTTTTACTTAAATTTATTTTTGTCTTTATTAATAAGATTGATGAATGTGGAAGAAGCGAAAGAGGTTTGTTTGAATCGAAGCATTTGGCGTTCCATTGTTACTGCCTACCCTAATGGGAGACAGGCGTGACAGATATGTATGTATGTATGTAATAGTAAAATTTTTAGAATATATAATCATCAAAATAAAATGACATCAGTATCAATTAACATATTATAAAAATTAAAATATCTGCAAAACATGTAATAGTGTTAACTATTTTCAGAGATTCTTGAAAGAGTCGCTAAACATTTGTGATCTAAATACGCCTGCCTCGTGGACTTACTTCTTAGACAGGCATATCGCTATAGAAAAATCTATTGACACGATTTGAAATAAGCTGTCAATCCTAATTTGGACGTAGCGTCCCACTTGAAACATCTCAAAATACTAACTGCGGTTGCCAATCCGCCTCCAAGGGAGAGACTTTTGTTCGGCAGTGGATCTTTTCTACCATTATACCCGGCTCTGCTTTTAGACAATTTTTCTGTATTCTCTTTATTACGTATACGTGTTAATCTATGTGCAATATAGTATATTAGATATGAATTAATTTGAGGTTAGTGGTAACCCGATTTTAAAAACAATGTATGCCAACTTTAAGTCTTTAAGAGTTGTCAGGGAATTCTATGGGCTACTCGCTATGAACTGTCGCGTTACGAATTTATAATTTATTTAACGATATTTTTGTATAAGTAAAGAGACTGTGACCGTTTCCATGCTTTGTACATACGTGCCACATGTGTTATGTTGTTCCTGTAACGTGTAAAGTAACATTAAAGTAAAATATATGGATAAGTTTTCAAAGAACAAACATGTACCTATTTGTAATAAAATTGAATTACATACCTACACTATTTGTATTATTTCCCTAATTTCGAAGATATTTATAATCATATCATGACGCCTTCATAATCATGTTACTAGTTCAGCTGTCATCACATCTTGCAAAGAAAATTTCCCTTTTTGAATTTAACTTTTTATTACCGTCTCATTGTGTCTGTACCGTTGCCAGTTACATTATTTCAGTTATCTTTTTTCTTTTTTTGTTCCTTTATTACTTTCCATGTGGTCGACATTAAAATAACAATGCTTGTCTTGGTAGTATTATGTACCACAATTCCATTCATATACACTTTCCAAACATGGCTGCCCTCCCCAAAAGGGTATCGTAATTTTTCTTTTCAATGATTACTACCACCCAGGGCGTTGAATGAGTAATACTTATTTTGTAAATTCATAAATTATTATGAAAATAAATTGATATTAATATATATAATTTATAACGTAATTTAGATTTGTTTTTAGCATATATATATATATATATATATATATATATATATATATATATATATATATATATATATATATATATATATATATATATATATATATATATATATATATATATATATATATATATATATATTTATAACTCCATTAGTTCTAAGCCGATTTGGGAATTTCTTTTTTATCTGAAAGAGTATATTTATAAATTGGACCTGCATAAATTTTATCAAAATCTGTTTAGTTTTTAATTAAAATAACTAGTTTTTTCGGGTTTTTGCGGAACACAATTTTTAATTATATTATTGGAGCAACTAGGTCATTCTTTCTACTCCTATTATACTTATTATTAGTATAAATTAATCCAGTCTTTTATATCGTATGGCATGTTTTACCATATTTTGTTGGTAAGTCTTAATTTTTTGTCACTACGTAAATGAACCTAATTAATGTATGTACGTTATAAATTAGATATGATCGTTTCATCATCGTTTCAAACTTTATCAAAAGGAATTGAATAATTACAATGATCAATAAAAAGGTTAGGGAGATATCGGGGCATCTATCGTATAATGCGCAATGACGAGCAGTACTACAAATTATATTTAAGAAAAGAAAATAAATTATATTTTAGAGGCAACTTCCAGCAGCAGTATGTCAACCTAATGGGGTATATAGGGGAGGAAAGGGATTATTAGTAATAGGGTTTGACAGCCCCACCCCTAGCAATGGGGTTGTTAACCTTTTTTTGGGGGTTTCCCCCTTTCACTTTTATGCAACTTAGAATGGCAAACAAGCTGACGGCCCACCTGATGGAAAGTGGTAACCGTCGCCTATAGACATGAGCAGTACTCTCAATTCACTACCATATCCTTACCTTCAAACTGAAACAGCCATGCAAACAGAACTGCCTTACGGTTGCAACACGAATGGGACAGAGGTGCACAAGCAAACGACTTTTACGGACAAATTTACGGGTAAAAAACTAGTAATTATAATAATTTAGTAAACAATAAAACAGGATCAACGATTCACAATAGGCTAATCCGACACGCCTAAAATTAATAATGACTGGTAAAATATTTACTAATTTTAAGCCAAAGAAAAAGCCATTTAAAAAATATAATTTTAATTGGATTTCTGAATTATTTTATTTATAATTGTTATTACAATTTAAAATACACCATCGAACAATACAGTTTAAGTACTATAAACAATTTAATATTTTTTATATTAATCAATCATGTTAACGATTTTATATCCGCCACGACATCTACATTATGTGTGTGAAACTAATATACCGCATACTGAACAATGTAGATGGCACCACTTACTGTAACAAGTTATACTTTTAACAGACTTAATAACTAAATTAGGATTATGTTCAATGACTCAAACTATTAAAATAAATATTATAAATATGAATTATTAAAATTTCAATTATATTATGGTAAATTATACTCGATAATTTTGTTCTGTATAATGAAAGCAAAAGAACTACGAGCAACTTGAAAAGTTTGCTTTCACAAATTAAATATTTAAATTACTCTGACAGATGTCACTACTGACTACCGATGTTATTCAATCACGTTACGTTATGTGAATGTGTGTTATTATATTAGTTATTCGTTTAAAAATATTAAGGGTTTATTTACTAAAAAAAATGTAATTAATATTATGAAATACATATACCTACCTTAATTTCACATTTTTATATAGAAATAAAGAAATTGATTACTTTCTTAAATTTTAGAACTATGCAATTTATATTATATAGATAAATAAATAAAAATATATATAATTAAAAGAAATTGTGAAATTGCTTACGACTGGTAAGTTAGTCCTGACGCTTTGTTGTGAATGTCGATTCAATAAATGTCAGCCTTCTGGTCACTAGATGTCTCTACTAGTCAGCCATAATTGACATTAATTAGAACGCGTCAATTTCAGAGATTGATTTTGCTCCTCAAAAATAGAAAAAGCGAAGGACCCTATATATACCACCGTTGTTATCTATGCACTTTTACCATCGCATAGGTAGTTCATTGATACCTTTACTAAAAAAACCTTGGGGCGAGAAACAATAAACTCTTTGAAGGCGGTTTGGTCTGCCGCGTCGGAGTTGAATTTTTTTCTTTGTAAGAAGTTATCCAAATTCCAGAAAAAGTGGTAATCTGTAAGAGCAAGGTCCGGGGAGTATATTATGGTGCATGTTGCAGACATTCCAATTGTAACAGTCTGTGGTCTTGCGTTGTCGTGAAGCAGCAGTGGCCTAGAGAGATAGACCAATCTCGGTTGTTTAGCAGCTAGTTCTTCCTTCGTGATTTGCAGTTGATGACAGTAGATATCTGCTGTAATCGTTTGACCAGATTTTAGAAAGCTGTAGTGAACGACACCGGCGCTAGTCCACCGAACACTCACAAGTAACTTTTTCTGAGTCAATTTTCGTTTAGAGCAGGATTTGGCCGGGTCTCCAGGGTTCAGCCATTGCGACGAGCGCTTCCGATTATCGTACAGTATCCATTGTTCATCACAAGTAATGATTCAGTTTAAAATCTCTTCATTATTGTGTCGGTTGAGTAAAGTAACACAGCAGTGGACGCGTGTTTGCAAGTTCGATTCAAATGGATTAATACAGTTTTATCACTTACCGCAAAGCCTGCAGCTATCTCTGAAGTACTTTGTGATGGATCCATTTCCATAATAAAGATATTAAATAGCAATTTATATTTATATATATTTTTTATACAACTTAGAATGGCAAACAAGCTGACCTGATGGAAAGTGGTAACTGTCGCCTATAGACATGAACAGTACCATGGACATAACAGAGTATACTATTTCGCCCAGATACCCCCCATGCGTTGCCATTCCTGAGGATTCAGGTGTTATTCCTCTGTACCCTGTAAATTTACGCCATATCCCACCCTTCAAACCGAAACACAGCCAGGCAAACACAACTGCTTCACGGTTGAAACACGAATTGGACAGAGGTACCCAAGCAATCGACTTTTGTACAAGGTCTCCCTCTGATAAGCTACAGTGTTTCCTTTTAAGAAAGGTCAATACGTCTCTACCTTTTGCGTGAACTTCTGTGAGAGCTTTGTCAATTCTGTGAAGATGCAGCAGATGAAGTTAATTCGTCCAGCGAGTACGGTAGTGCTCCCGCCAAACCAAGCATAACCGGACCATCCTTTTCCTGAAGCAGCTCACAGCACTTTTCACTTTCCTATAACTTTATTCATGATTCCTGGAAACTTTCCGTTTAAGTTTGATTTTTTTTTGTGATCAAAAGAACATAATATAACTAGCTGTATTGTTAATATATATAATAATTGTAACTTGTCATTAGAGGCGGCTTTATTCAAGCCGCAGGGTGTGCAGTGCACACGAGGAGCGCAAAGTTTTAGGAGACACCGAATGCCATTCGCGACACCTCCAGAGAGCATGTATCGCTTGAGTGTATCGTTAAAGATTTTGCTCAATAAAAAGCGCGAAAAATAACTTTTTTGTAAATATATTTATGTTGTATTACAAGTGTTATACAAGTCTGTAATATTTTTATCTACTTTAAAAAATAAAGGTTTATGTAAACCACTGTGCCGCGGCATTTTTGTGTGCCGTCAAATTTTAAAAGTGTGCCGCCAAATTTTGCAAATATTTAAAATTTTTGTCATAAACTATTTATGCAGTGTGTTGTAGTAAGTGAATAATTTTTATCTTTTCCTTTGTGCGCCGCCAAATTTTGAAATCGTTAAACATGTGCCGCAACAAAAAGAAAAAGGTTGAGAATCACTGATGTAAACACTACAAAGCTGTGTTTTTTTTTTATATTTTTATACTCTTTTCTCCCTAAAAAATACTCGTGTACTGATTGCTTCCTGAAACCATTTAAAATTGTATCATTTGGACTTTCAATTCTTTATAAAGATATGTAAGTATAACATTTCGACCACGCGCCTACTCAAAGGCACCAGGGTATTGACTGCATACGGGCGCTGCTAGTCCAAAGCCGTTACGAATTATCACGTCTTTTAATTTTCAAGTTTTTTAATTTTCTCACTGACCCACTCGCCGATCACAAAATCCTAAGATATTTTGTAACAATCTCACAAACTTCAAATATTGATTCAAATGAAACATAATGACTTTAAAAAACTAGGTTCATACATTCGAGTAACGCATCGCGCTTGTAGCTGATGGACAAGATATATACCAGTCAGTCAAATTATTTAATAGGTTACCCACTGACATGAAAATCAACGATAATTTCAATACCTTCAAAACTAAGCTAAGAACTATTTTGTTGAAAGAATGTTTTTATACTTTAGACGAATTTATTAATTGCGTGTATGACAAATAATTTAACTTTGTTATGACAAGTAATTTATCTAATATCTATTATAAGCTATCATATTGTTTTTCTTTTTTTATTTTGTATTATTTTTTAATTGACTTTATTTTTAATTTCTTTAATTTTTAGTCTATAAAATATTGTAACTCATTTCAAACACAATTGTATGATTGTTATTGAATACTAGTAAATGAAATGAAATTAAAATAAAATATATATTGGTATATAGGTATATACCAATTATGATACCGTGTATTTGCCAAATCATGCTAATTATTATAAAAAGGTCGGTTTGAAAGGTGAGAGGTGAGACAAGGTGAGATATGGTTGTGAATTTACAGGGTACTGGCCTGTGTACACCCGAGTCTTTAGGAATGGCAACGCATGAGGGGTGGTATCATGTGCGAAACCGTATACTCTGTTATGTGCATGGTACTGCTCATGTCTATAAGCGACGATTACTTTCCATCAGGTGGGCCGTCAGCTTGTTTGTCATTATAAGTACTATAAAAATAATAATAAAGATGTCTAATATTGATACGGTCATCATAGATAATCGATTAGATAACAATTAATTATAAAGTTTTAAAATAAGTGCCTCCTTGAGAGATTGTTAGTAATGTAGACTGCCAGACCCGTTGCTAGCAACATACCCTGTCAGGTCGACCATCACGTGGTCCCTCCTGGAAAGCATAGTGTTGGATTCTAGTATATTCACACGATGGGCTAACTGACCTGCTCTTTCATCCTCATCTATCGCCCATCACTGGTGCCTCGCCAGCGTATACCGATAGCGCATGCGGGGTGACTATTTCATTATCACCCATTAAAAAAAAAATAGGCGCCTCCATACACACTTACCAAAATAACTGACTTGTTTTAAATGAGATGTTCACAACTTTTTTTTTATATAACTTAGAATGGCAAACAAGCTAGCGGCCCACCTGATGTAAAGTGGTAACCGTCGCCTATAGACATAAGCAGTACCGTGGACATAACAGAGTATGTTTCGCCCATGATACCCCCCATGTGTTGCCATTCCTGAGGACTCAGGTGTTATTCCTCTGTACCCAGTAAATTCACCCAGTAAATAAACTTGTTTCTTAGTAGAAGAACTGCTTTACGAGACTTGGTATTTTCTATACTTTATGTTTTTGGTAAGCATTATTGACAAATACATGGTGGAATTTACTTTTAACTCGTTAATTTCTACATGTACGTAGGTATATGAGTTGCCATTTGACGTCTATTCGTTGTAACTTCGTTTTGATCTCAATTTGAATGTAGAAATAATTATGATAATACTTTCTGATATCAATAGTATTTAAATGGGGGGAAAGGGATTGTTAGCAATGGAGTTTGACAGCCCCATTGCTGCAATATGCCTTATTAGGTCGACCTCCACGTGGTTCCCCCTGGAAACCATCGTGAACAATTCTTGTTGAATTCGTCACAATGGGCTAACTGACCTGCTCCATCCTCACCTATCATCCTTCACTGGTGCCACGCCGGTGTATACCGATAGCGCGGGCGGGGTTACCATTCCATTATCATCTATTAAAAAAAATAGTATTTAAATACTCCGGTGTTAGTAACCATAATAATATGAATTTAAGCATCATACCGTACTTTGAAATCGACACCTAGTAGCAGTTTTCACAAACCGAAACAATATCGCAACTTTTAAGAAAAAAACATATTCCTTTTTAAAAGGTCAACAAGACACTTGTAATTCTATGTTACAGGTGCTCATTGGCGACGGTATTCGTTTACTTTTTTTTTTTAATGTTTTGATAATGGAATGGTAACCCCACACGCGCTATTGGTATACACCGGCGGGGCACCAGTGAAGGATGATAGATGAGGATGAAGTAGGTCAGTTAGCCCATCGTGACGAATTCAATAAGAATTGTTTACGATGGTTTCCAGGGGGAAACACGTGGAGGTCGACCTAATAGGGTATATTGCTAACAATAGGGGTGTCAATCTCCATTCCTAACAATCCCTTTCCCCCCATTTGCTTATTATTAGTGAATAGCATGTTTGTTTGTCCCTGTGTTAAAAAAATGTAGTCGTAAACTATTAAAGTACAATCTAACAGGTCAGTGTACACTATTGCTAATACCTTCCTCTTGTCGGGAGAATCCTGTAATAAAAAATGATGCTGTTAATGTGTTTTTATGTCTAAACTGTCTAAAACTTGGGAAATTCGACAATCTTGTTTTTATTACTTTTACACTTAGACTTGTTAGGTATTATTATTCGAATTTATTGTTTAATATTGACAGGTATGGGACGGCTGGACTAAATGCGGCCGTTGATCCCACCGACATCGAGGTGGACCCTCTTAATGTATCGCCAACATTAACTAAAGGTATCAATAACTCTCCTAGAGATTTTAAGCGACATCGGATCGCAGTCGCACGTCGCAATCAGTCGTTCATTAGCGGACGGGCCGAGGCGAGGGTCCCGGCGGACGGCGGACGGCGGACAGCGGACGCGACGGCCGCCTCTGATATATGACTCGTATACACATATCGGTTAAATTGTCCACTCGATAAGTGGGCGTGAGACGCGGCGAGCGCGGCTCTCTTAACCATCACAACTGTCCCGCGGAATGACACTCTAACGAGTGGGGATTAAGGTGTAATTTACTTGGTTACTTTACAAGTTGTGACCGTTTGAGGCGCGCGTTCCAAATTGGAATTTCGAGAAAAACAAAAAATGTAATCGATGGGTGCATTGGAAAGTATACTTTGTGGAGGCAGTGGAACGTTGAAGACGGGTCGTTGATTGGGAGCGGTTGCGTCGTTTGGTGGCCGCGGCGCGGCTCGCGAGGGGCTAATGTGTAACCGTTGTCGCGGGCGAGCGTCCACTAATGCGCTCGGCGCCGGCGCCCGCCTAAAACAAAAATCTACAACATTCCTTCGTTTAGGCTGCGAGCCTTTATTCCTTTTTTATCGGATCATGAAATAATAGAATCGGTACAAAGCAACCGCTGATGTGTTCGCCAGCGTGATCCGCCTAATGATCCTAACATCGATATTATTATTGGTATACACGGACGTTGTTGTGTTGAGAGATAGAAAAAAAGCTGACGATTTTTTTTTTTGTAATCTAGCTGTGCTTGCTGCGACTTGTTCCAAACTAGAAAAAACCTATCAATCTGTTATAGCTGTGCCCGCGGCTTCGTTCGCGTTTTCGGGATGAAAGTTGCTATTATTCTTCATACCAAATATTGTCCTGTGTCTTCAAACAGTTTTTTTCATGTATTTTTTTCATGTAACATTCTGTAAGATTTGTGGAGAAAATAAATAAATAAATAAATAAACAGTGTCCTGA